GAGCATGCTCTTGAAGTCGTGGTTTGAACTTCCGCCAGACGGCGGGATATCTGTTATATTCCATAACCAGGGCCAGATCAGTCTGCGCCTGGCTTAATGTGGTCTGAATGGCACAACTAACATCTGTGTGACCCGGTCCCGGCGATTTCGAGTCACGCTGGCCACTGAACCCAACATCTTCGTTGGCTTAACACGACCAAAACAGTGATGGGTGGAAGAGAAAAGAGAGTGAGTCCAAACTAAGTCGCATTCATTCTCAATTCTCTACCATAAACAATCTAATCCGTCTTAAATTACTACGACGAGCCACGAGTTATAGCCTGAAAACTTTGCCAACTGCCAACTTACCCCGTTCTTACTTAGGAATGATGGTCAGTCTGCAATGGCTACTCCTTACTAGGTCATTCATGGCATTCCCACTAAGGTGAGGTCTGAGATACACCCCGAATAATACTTGACAGGTGTGAAATCAGGGACTAGACAATGAGCGGCACGCGCTGACGGACCGCTTAGTTCCAGTCATCTTCACTTCCTCCAACCACCGGAAAGCGGGCAGTGCAAGGAAAGAGAGGCGGAGGTAAATGCAATGCTGTTCACAGGTGTGCCTACCTCTTGAATCAATGGGGGACCTCGTTGTTTGCAATAGTCAACCTATAGTTACTGCCTGCCTCCAGTGTTCATTAAACTTGATTTCACCTAAGCGACCGTTCTCCGGCGTCGTGGCAAATGTGTCCCCTGAATTTCTGTACTGCTGTAGGCGAAGATAAAGAAATATGCTGCAGATTACTGTCAATTTGGCGAATTCATACGTTTCCATCAGTGTGCTGCATGAATCATCCTGTAAGGGGAATTGGGGGCAAGTCTCACTGGTGTCCCTTAATAGTGTCTAAGTAGTAGCTATGATGATTACTAGGACTCAGGTCTACAATTTCGCTTGCGGTAACTTACTTTGGGACAGGGCACATTCCCTGAATAGGAAAATCAAAGTTCCTGTCACATTGTGTCAAGTTTTTCTATTCTATATTAATGGATCCGAAGTATGTCTCGCATACAGCAAACGGGAAATTAACCCAATGGATAATTTCAAATCTTTTGCTTCAACTTAACGTGTCTTACATCTACAATAAAAAAAACCTTGGCTAATGAATCGACCGTACTCCAAACTTCGACTTACGCAAGGGAAAACGTGCACGCTTTCGCCCACATGGCGATTCAATTGGTTTAATACGATTAAATCGTCTTTGTAAATCTGATAAGCAAAACCCACCGCTGACCAACAGAGACATCAGAATGCCAGGAAACAGTGAAGCAAGATGAATATTAAAGGAATAATTATATGATCCATGTCTGGACGAGATCACAGAAGAAACGCACTGAGTTACGGTTGAGTTGTGTTTGTCACCAGCGTTCAGGTGGCAAATTGTCATGGTCAGTTCGGCACTTTGGAGACTCCAGTTAACACGGCGCCGAGGTTTCTAAGAAGGAGAAGGTCATCTTCTTTCTGAACTCGAAGGAAATTTGCAGGTCATCCGGTAACTTGAAACCACATTAACGAAGACTTTTCAGGCTAATGGTGCCTTGCATTTACCCTGGGTAAGTGATCCATCCACAGCCACACACAACGCTTTATAAGTTATAGAGTGATCCTCGGCGTCACCAGACGGAACTTGGGCTTCTGCTATTGAGCTGTTAGATCCTGAGTTTTTTTGATCGAATTCCTTTTAATTGTGTCTCCGAACGTCATTGCATTTATGACTTCGTTAATGTCGTATTTGTTTATATTGGGTGTAGACTTTTCAGCACTTAATGCGGGCTAATGTCCGAATGCCTGTTCGGTCCATAAGAGATAAGTTGACATGTTTTTGCAATTTTTCCTTTTTCACTTGTCATACCCACTTTTTATGTTATGATATCTTCCAGAACACTTTGGTATAGTTCCTGTAACATGAAAAACTGACTGACGTGGCTTATGAGCGAGATTTCTGGTGGAACTAGAAAGGGCGTGTGCCCAGGTGAAAGTGATAAAGCAGGATATTTCTTTCTGTGCGGACAACTAAGGTAATTTAAGCTAATTCAAGAACGGACATGCCTTTCAGCGTAAATCTATGCATAGCAATGCAAGAAGTACTCGATTAAATGCTTTTACTCTATGAGTAGAAATGATTTTTAAGACGAACAGCACATACAGAACGCCCCTTGATTTGGTGCAGCTTTGTGAAGCTATTATTATGTTATTATTTGATTGTTAATTTGCGTGCAATTGTTTGCAGTGTTCAAGATGGTGAAAATTAGAGAATTCTCTGCAGTCAACTTTCATGGCCTTTTAACCTTGATACTTAACGCAGTGTGGAAATTTCCTCAAACTAGGCGGACGGTTCTGACATTTGAATCGTTTGTAAACACTATGGACAACGATCGAAAAGACAACGATGGTCGTTTCTGGTTTATTTTCTTCAACATCTTGCCACAGCCCAACACCTATCATGGCCGCTCCGAACCGGAGTTCCAGTACAAAATACGATGGCGACTTTTTCTCTTTAATTAAATCGGGTCCCCAAATGTCCCGTTCATGCGAGGGTCCGGTCGGTTATATTATTAAAAGACAGCTTAGGTTTCACTATATTCTAAAATGTAGTGTCAAAAGTCCGAAGATAGATTTGACCCTATCCAACTACTAGTTGGTAATAACTTCTTACTTAAAGGGATACAGGGAGCACAAGGACGAAAACTTCATTCTCTTAAAAAGTGACCTTAAGTGACTGACTTAAGAGCAGTGGGAATTCATATCGTCGTATCTAACAGATCCCAGAGGGACCCTATTTTTCAGCATTTACACAGAGCCCTAGAAAGTCAGAGTTCACTTAATAGACTTGCGAATGAAATCCCAGCTTCAGAGGAGCTTAAACAGTTAGCAAACTGCATCCTTTGTTATTAATTAGGTTTTAAGCAATTGAGCTGGCACAATAACCAATCTACTGAACTTCACACTTCTGCAAATTCGCAGTCAACTTTAAGAAGAAAACATTGAGTGTGAAGTAGCATCCTCCTATAGGCATGCGGAATTGGGGCCGTGGTGACTATATGATTAGCATATAATCCTTCTGCTAGCGCAAGACCGGTTTACAGAGCCTGATTACCATTGCTTTCGCCATTGCAAGTGGGCGTTGTTGCATTGCCTCCTGATGGTAGGCAGGAAACTTGGCAGACGAGTCGCAAAACTTGATTGTTGTCGAAGTGCGCAGTTACGAGGCTGATTACTGCTCTTTTCTCATCACTCGTAGCCATGCGGGATTGCAGCAAGAAGTACAATTTTAGACTCCCTTTATCAGAAAACAACCCAGCTACTAATCTGAGAGTTTTGCATAATTGTGGGTGAATCCATGGAAGGTAATTCTCTGGTAGTTATGTTATTATGTGCCAGTTTCTAACAGAGAGGCCAGCTCTTTGAAGCCAAGATGTCAATGATTTCGTTCGCGTAATACATCCTCAGTACTAATTGTAAACAATCAACCAGATACTGAAGTCTTTTTTCGCCTTTTGTCCGCATTGCATGTCCACGAGTGATGGATGGCCATGATGCGCCTCGACGCGAGGATTCTATAATGCAATCTGAGGATAAAATTGCTTACCCGTATTTCGTCTCGCAAGGGTCCTACTCCGGTGAGCCTGTAGTAGCCGCTCCAGCCCCCCTTTTCTCCGGCTCCGTTTTGTCGGTCGATGGCCGCGACAATCGTTGTCAGGCTGCTGACACACAACCACCCCCGCCGGCTAGACCTGGGGCCCCTCCTGTCCAGCTGTAGTGACCACCGCCTGTCCCCCACAAACGATTATCGCCTCATGTGCGTCGGACGACCTGGCTTGATACCCGTGAGCCCCTGTAACTATGCTTCCCCCTAATCCTCCCCTAATCCGTCCAATCTCATGACCAGCATTCAACCAGTCACCTTCACCTACTGACACAGACTTTCACTCCCGCGTAAACTACACACCGCGACTGATGCTCTCCGTGAACGGACGCTTTTCTCTGTTGCAAGCAAACAGCCAACTTACGGCAACCTGCCCTGTGTACAGAATAAACTAGTCCTCACTGCTCCCTGACTTTTGTCATTAGACGAAACGAACTTATTGTGTGTGGTTTAAGTTGATCTCACATCCTTGACCGCCACAAGTCCATGGACTGAACGGAAACGTATTTACCCAGTGATCAACGGATTCCTTATTTAAACATTTGGACCTTCTGGCTAGTTGTTGGGGTAGCTATCGGCGGCACATAAACCAAATGTGACCATTTGAGTTTCCTTGTCTAAATAATCAATACTTCTCCATGATTTAGAGAAATTATGATTATCGGGGGCGAAAAACCTCCCGGCCACGCTCACTCGGATGTTGACTGTCCCTTAGGGATAAATTTTCAAAACGCTTATGGGCCTGTCCTTCAATCTTTAACCTGAGATCCCGACTGTCTGATTAAACTGCGAAGTTGCAAGTTCAGTGTTATACTTTTACTCTAGTGGGACAGTGTCACAGCGCAGAGTTGGCACGCATCGCAGATGAGTACTAACCGCCCACGGTGTTATAGTTACTTCTTGAAAAGCGCCGGCAGACACGCCCATTTTTGCCAAAAAAATTATGTAGATTTACGCCAGGGAAAAGCATAACCAAACGTCAGTTTTTACACTGAATCCAGTTCAAAGTTGCGTGGTCGATTGCGAAGACGCCTCTACTGTCACTCTCGGTCTTCTTCAAGGGAGACCTCGACAGCCATCCACAGTTCCAAGGTTCTTTAAGTTATGGTAACCGATTTGTTGTATTCAGGACGCCGACTTCAAAGTACAATGCGTACGATTTACAGAAGGGCGTGCTATATATGTATCCGTCAGGATTTATATTGCAACAAATGTATGACAGGAGTGTGTGGGTGGAAAAAAACGCGATACGATGTGATGAAGTTGCGCTAAAGGCGCATACATGCAAACGTCCACATGAAGAAACAATGAATTCTACTGCGCTTCCCCTTCCTGTTCCCCTTCCTCGTAATTTTCTTCCTCTTCGTCATCAATACCCGCTTCTTGGTACTGTTGATACTCACTTACAAGATCATTCATGTTTGACTCGGCCTCTGTGAACTCCATTTCGTCCATGCCCTCACTGGTATAGAAGTGGAGGAAGGCCTTGCGACGGAACATGGCCGCAAACTGTTCACTTATGCGAATGAAGAGCTCCTGAATGGCCGTGGTGTTGCCTATGAATGTAGCTGACATCTTGAGGCCACGCGGGGGTACGTCACATACAGCAGTCTTCACATTGTTGGGGATCCACTCAACAAAGTAGGGAGCATTTTTCTGCTGAGTAAGAGTCATCTGATCCTCTACTTCCTTCATTGAAATATGGCCCCGGAAGATAGCCGCCACCGTGAGATACCGTCCCCTTTGGGGATCACAGGCCGCCATCATATTTTTAGAATCAAACATCTGTCGAGCCAGTTCTGGGATGGTGAGACTCTGGAAGGACTGTGAGGTACGGCTCGAGAGCGGAGCGAATCCAGGCACAAAGAAGTGCAAGCGCGGGAAAGGCACCATATTGACTGCCAGCTTCCGCAGATCGGAATTCAGTTGGCCGGGAAAGCGCAGGCAGGTGGTTACACCAGACATGGTTAGGCTAACTAGGTGGTTCAGATCACTGTAGTTTGGGTTGGGCAGCTTCAAGGTCCGGAAACAAATATCATAGAGGGCCTCATTGTCAATACAAAATGTTTCATCAGTATTTTCAACGAGTTGATGGACGGAAAGTGTGGCATTGTAGGGTTCCACGACAGTGTCGGAGACCTGAAATTCAAATGGGCATTTTAGAACTGGCAATTTAGTGGGATAACTTACAATTTTTCTTAGCATTATGCGACTGTAACAAAACCGTGGTGTTACGCAATCAGTTTTCTCTATAATGGATATGTGCGCTAACCCCTAAGAGATCTGTTGTTCAGTTTCATGGAACCGGGGATTTCTTAGTGAAGTCTGCCCATCTGGTAGAGAATTCTTGCTTTGGTAGTTTCGAATATCGGAAGAAACTTCAAGTGATTTATGCAGACTAAATAATCTTGCGTCAAACCGTTGAACCGGGTGCAAATATAGGAAGGCCTCAACATTACGGAGTTGAATGGATCATAGAGACTCTCTGTTAGGTCCTAACATGGCTCTAACATTTCCACATTTTCTGGGTCCTGAAAAAGGTCGGCGCTTTAGAGGCCTGGGAACAGAGTTAGAAAGTGCTTACAGAAATTTGAAGCTGAAGCACGAGAAAATCGGAGTTCTTGTATAAGTCCAAAAACAAACCATGCAGACGAACGTTGTTTTCTATTACTTTGACATAATTAAAATGCAGGACAATAAGACGCTTCCCAAATGATTAAGCCACTGCACAAACCTCCGACAGTCTCTTCTAGGAAATGTAACTTAGTGGGACTTAACTAGAAGGTGCATGCAGAAGAGGGGTTCGGTACACTGGCAGCATATTTGCTCACACAGTATATTCGGTTTAACGACTGAGAAGGAGACATTTGTGGGACTTAACCGCACTTAGCTTTTGAGTCTATTTACTGCAGCATGGCCTTGGATACAGAAGCCGTGATTGGTTTTCAAGATGCCTCACGACCAGGTACAAGTCAATAGTGTCTAGGGCAACCTTCCAGTTAGATGCTTCCTGAAACGGACTTATATATTTGCAGTCAAACATCAGTTAAAAGACTACCTATCTGACTGGGCTGACCATTTTTCCTGGATGAAGTTGAGAGGAAGTAAAAATTAAGGCGAAATAAACGCTTTTTCACTCTACAGTACGTGTGCATACCTTCAAAGTACTATAACATACATCCAAAATTAGTAACACGGGTTTCATGGAACATGCTGGGCAATCTAGCGCCTCGGTGGCTCTGCCATACAACAAAAGAAGTTCAGAAGAGTTTTAAGAAGCGGCGTTGATGCCTGACTTCTGACTCTGTGTCAGAAGAGAAGGAATGATCAGTTCGAAAGTAACTAACCTTAGGGGAGGGGACGACGGAGAAGGACATCATTATTCTGTCTGGATACTCCTCACGCACTTTCGACACCAGAAGCGTGCCCATTCCAGATCCGGTACCACCGCCGAGGGAATGACAGAGTTGGAAACCCTGCAGACAGTCGCATGCCTCGGCCTCCTTACGGAGCACGTCAAGCACTGCGTCAACAAGTTCTGCACCCTCTGTGTAGTGTCCCTTGGCCCAATTATTGCCTGCTCCGCTTTGCCCGTAGATGAAGTTGTCGGGACGGAATAGACCACCCAGGGGTCCGGCACGTACACTGTCCATAGTACCCGGTTCCAGGTCGATGAGGATGCATCGTGGAACGTACTTGCCTCCGGAGGCCTCTGTGTAGTAGACGTTTATTCGCTCTAGCTGTTCATCCGAGTCACCATGGTAGGCACCAGAGGCATCAATGCCGTGTTCATCCGATATTATCTCCCAAAACTGTATAGGGAAATAACGCAGGCATTAGTGTCGACAGACAAGTGAGTGCAGACCCAAAAACTTTCAAAAGTGATGTCGACCTCCTTGTTCGAGCTGCCATTAGGGACAGTTAATTTATATGCTCGAAATAAGATGCAGAAAGTACTTTTATATATTCCAGGTCTCCAGTGCATTGAGTGCAGAGGAAGGTTGATGCCAGATAGCCCGGCATTTGTTTACTCTATGAGCATTCTGTTCTCGGTGTTCCAACCTTCCATTCCTTTGGTTCCATCTTCACTATATGTCATGCTCTTTCCACTGGGTTTGAGGTGTTTTCTGGAATCAGAAGGGGTGTTGAGACACCATGGTGACGGAGACTCCCTATCACTTGTTGGTTAACGTTATTTTACCCCCAAAATAGTCTTGATTTTTTACTTACATGTGAACTTTATTTCTTAAATGTCGCTAAAAGCTCATTTTTCACATACCTGTGCGGAGATTTCCACACCAAACGTCTAATGTTTCTAAATGTCAATAGCCGTTTACGCCACATCTACTACTGCCGCCGATATTCGCAAAAGTTTCCATATTTTTCATACATTTTATTTAGACTTTGCCGATTGATTCTATTCTTAGCGTCACCCTGTCCCACCGTTCTCATCCAAAAGCGTTTGACTGTGCAAATATTCCTAGATTTTGAAAAACAGTGGATCAGGGTCCACAGGATCTCAAACGGTGGCCATGCGGCACTGAAACAGAAGTTGCCTGTCATTTTGAAATTTGTGACATCTGTTTATGAAGGCTGCATGACACACTTAATTGGCATTTCAAAATGTCTTCTGCGAATCTCATCCCTGTGGAATAGGTGGCTTGACAAATGCTGCAAATGCGTCGACGTTTTGTGTATTTTTGAAGTAAAACTTTTGTTTGACTCTGATTAGGAGGATTATTCGTTCTACTATGAGGCTATAACCTTTGATCATAAACAGCGGTCAAGACCTTAAAGGAAAAAAAATTGCGAATGAGACAGTCGATCAGTTTCATTATTAATCTACAACCATGCGCGTTTTGTACTTTTTTGGTTTCGAAAAACTCAAGGGCAAAAGACTGGCGGCTCATTTTTATTCTGGAAGCGTTGCGAGAAACCGTTGCGTAGTTTCGATTCAAACTGCAGCCTAAGGATCAAGAAAAACAGCAGACAAAATCACAGGATATTCATTCTCAGCCAGTTGCAAATCGATCCGGATAAGGGTTGTTTAACTACTTGCTGTCAGGAGATAGATTCGATCGAAGCGAACAGGCGAGTTCCAGGAAGCAGTTCAGAAGAAGATGCGATCCCCGGAACAAGAAGTTTATTGGCATGATGCTTAGGATTCTCACTTGAACTCATTGACAGAGACAGTCGGAGATAAGGGTAATGGAAGCATGGAGTGCAGTACTTTTAGTACGTGGTTACCGTGGGAACACATGCGTAATGTAATTAGCAGCTCTCGCTGTGGGTCGTAATTGATGCGTCCGAGTCTTTAATTGGCGCGATTCATTTAGTCAGTCCGTCCAACTCTTGTTAGCTTTTTTAAGACAGGTGGTTGGACTGAATCACGGCCAATCTGTGGGACCGTAGTACTTACGGAAGGAATTTATTGATTAATTGACATCCGCGTACCGAAGAATAAACATTTTGTTTACATACTTGACATACTAAATGTTGTTCATTTTGGTTAACTACACTTTTGTGGATTCATACGGATAGTGAGCCATTATCTCTTCTCAGCAGTCCTACATAAAATAGTCTGATGATGTCTAGGTCTGTTTTCATACTGTAATAATGGAATTGATGTCCAGAATATTTTGTTTCAGGACGCCTCGATATATTTTAACCTCCCATTATCAGCGAGGTCCGTTTACTAGGAATGGGGTGACATTTCAGAATTTATGTGTTTTCTATCCTACCAATAATCAGGACTTGCTGATCGACAATATCTTATCTACTTGGTTCATGGTCCCTTAATCCAAAATCAGATGGCAGTAGAACTTTGTCTTGGTTATTTCGGACATCTTTTGTTTATTAACAGCTGACGGGCTAAGTCGTGTACTGATGCATGTCCTCAGAATAAAGTAAACTAGGCGCTTAATTAGTAAATCTAAAATACCTAAGTATTTTTACGCGAGCGTAATCAAACTAATTCAGCCTGATTACTTCTATGTGGAGGTCATGACACGGAACGCACGTTTATAGACATAATCAAAACTGATAAAACATATATCCATGTAAGTTCTGAGCAGAGGGTGATGAATAACCCGGAGCGAAAGCCGAGCTTAAACCAAATGTTTTTGAAAGTCATCACTAGACTGGGGTACAGGGTAGTTTTAAAGGTTATGATACATGATAAGGCAGAAAGAGGTACTTGAGAGAAAATTGTGTTTATAAATACGTGAAGACAATAAAATCAACTAACCTTGGAGCCTATCTGGTTGCCGCACTGGCCGACCTGTAAGTGGAGGAGTTCGCGCATGTTATGAGGCAAAAATCGACCTCCTCGTGTTCCTACCTATATATGTAGAAATGCTGACAGCAGCCTGTCTTACGAAGAGCACATTAAAGGTATGGCACGCAAGGCGCAAAGACGACCATGATTGGTTCTACGTTGGACCACAACAAAACGCTACTCAGAATCTCTCGCGTTGCTCGCCTTATGTGCGTGGGTTTAAAGCCTTGAAGACGTGCATAACCTTGAGAGCAGTGTCGAATGCACCTACAGTCGTGAAAAGAGAGTCAAAAAGAGAAAAACATGAGCGACGAGCAGTGGTCTAGTCTTACTTGCCATAAACCTCCCTCTGAAATCTGCAATTTGAAATACAGGGTTCAAAGATCTTATTATTGAGGAAAAAAGCCCGAAGATGTTCCTTTGGCTGACATTTTTCATGCATTAAATAATTAACAATTATTTTGCCCAGATAATCCTTTTATATTGTATGGTGATGCACGTTCCAGGAAATTAAGATCTTAATGTACGCATAGTTAAAGAGGCGGACTTCTACCTCATAAAGTTGCAGTATAAACTTGAATATGTGCCTTGATTATTAGCGGACATTTGGAACTGAGTGCTGAAGTTTCGGATCAGATTTTCGGCAGTTCACGGATAAATGTGAGCCAGATGATAGTTGCTGTGGAAACAGTTTATCACCACTTTCCCAACAAATCCATCTTTGGTATGGTCCATCCGGAAAGTCAGTAAGTTTAAAGGGGATCTTAAAACAGTAAATCTTCTGCGTACGCGTTCGGAAGGCTACATCCGCTGAGGCGTTGTTTTGCGGTAACGATCCTAATTACCACTATTCGTTTTTATTAATGATTTACTACATATAAGTTCGATCATAAGCCTACTGTTTGCAGATGGCAGTATATATTGGGCCAGCAGGATTGGAAATCCTCAAATGGAACATTTCGGCAAGATGAATATATGGCGACTCGATAAATCTTAATTCGTAACCGTCTGACACTTAATCAATAATGCATTCCAGAGCGCCAGACCTAGTTAACCCATGATTGAAGACGTCAGTACTCTTAAGATGAGCATACTTCTAAGGGGATCCTCAGGAGACTGATTGCCCGGTCATGTCAACTTTTGAATAGACACCGGTAAAACTAACTTATATGGCCCCCAATGCAGGACATGAGAACAGGAACTGCCTACAATACGGGTGGCTTTAAGCCAACTTCCAGTGAAATTGGGGTTAGGTTTAAGGTTAGGGTCAGAGTTAAGCTAGGGATTAGGTTTAAGGCTAGATTTAAAGTTAAAAGTAGGGTAAGTCAGAATCAAGTTTAGGACTAAGGTAGGAGCTAGTGTTAACTGCAGAGTTTAGATTTAGAGTAGGGTTAAAGTTAAGCTTAAGGCGACGGTTCAGTTTTATGTTAGGGCAATTGTTGAGATTAGGAAAGTGGAATATTTTGCCCTTTCTAGAATTACGCACAGGCCCATCTTGATTACTTCTGCAGCATCTAAACGCGCTGTCACATCTGGCTCGGATCCCTCGGAGTGGAGATGCCATAAAGGCCACATTAGGAAGGAGCCATTGCAGCCTGAGTCTCGGACCACCAGTCGGCCGCTTCGCACAAACGCACAGCACTGGGCCGACTGCGAGATCCAAGTTATCCAGTCAGTTGGTAACCTTCCAAGCCACAGCTTTTGGCGCACCGTCATAACTTCAAGCGGGTCAGACTGTTTATAGTGAGGAAAATGCGTCGAGTCGTCGACCTCAATCTGCCTTCCCATTCCTACGCCCCGGTCATTGTCCAAGTCGGTCAGTTGACAGGTGCGAGGGATGGACGCGGTGGCTGACATATCTAGTGACCTTGTCGGCGCGTGCCACACGCACAACCTGGCCCCCCAAACACAAGCACTAGGATTTCACATAACGGGGATTGGGTGGCGTACATCTCACATGCGTGAGAGTTTCACAGACCAGTTAAGAAGGAGCCGCGACAGCCTGGAGACCAGCCCCCCAGTCCGCCACTCCACACAACTGGGCAGACTGCGTGGACTGAATTGGGCCATCAGTCGGCAGCCTTCCAAGCCACAGCGCTTGACTCTCCGTGGTAGTCTCAGACCCGAGTCACATATACAGTAGGGCGGTCGCATGAAGACGGAACCGAGGCGCACATTTACCGGTTGGGTGCAGTTGGGCAGTTGGGTGCTTGTGGTGGGTGATGATGTTGTGTGATGTACAGTACGTGCAACGAACACAGAGATCCTTAACCGGAGTGCAGCATTAAAGCACTTCTTAAAGAGGTAACTTACCAGGGAAAGTTTACGTATTGGTCGAAGGCATATTCGTTGCTGACTTTCGTTGTGGACAGCCATTTTTTTCGAAAATGAAGTTTGATGTTCGAATGACTTTTCATATGTGACTCGAAGGAACTTCTTCGTGAAAAGGGGCGCCTTAACACTCGATTTTTCAGTTAATGCCATCAATAATTATCTTATTTAGAAGTTTTTAACAGGCAGGTAATCCAGAATTTGTCTTTATGGACGATTGGGTGAAAATACTGAAAATCATGAAGTATTCAACAATATTAGCAGGCCGGTCTGAAACTCAACGTAATCCAAATAGAACGAAAATTGAAAATTAATTTAACGGAAAAAAAGTTCTTTCTGCAAACACAGGACGGTATGTTTACGATCACGCCTGTCAGTACTATTTCAATTTATTAGGCACCAATCAGCCTTGCAGCATGCCGCCTTATGTATTTTTGTTCCTACGATATCCCCATTGGTTAACTCAAGTAAAAGTTGAACCCCATTTCATTCAACTCGAATGAGTCGAGAGTACCACGAAATTCCGGAAAACTGTTTTGGGATCTGTACTCAGAATACAGGCCGCTGGCAAACCGCCAGTTATGAAATAACACTAATTCCTAAACGACATTTAGATGTAAACTTCAATAAAACACTACTATCAAACATTATTTTATTTTTACTCTTATATTTACTACGTTTTTTGTTATGAGAAGATGTTCTTTATATTTAAAAACGAAATTTACTAAATTACAGCCATGTCTGACGTTTTCGGGATATTGTGGTTTTCCAAAAAAATATGCATTTCTAAACAACGGAGCACTGCGCTTAACATTAATTTTATGTTTTGAATTCTTTAAAATTTGTACTTAATTAACATAGACATTGGAGCCATGAAATGGTGGCGGTTTGCGAGGGATTGGCAATCATTCGTAAATTTCAACAAAGTTCATGAGTTAGGCAGCGCACTGTAGGTGGGGGAAGATGTAATGGTGTGGCGTGGGCGGTGGTTGTATACTGCAGACTCTCGTGAATGCGCATGTGGCCTAATAGGCCCATGCGGTGGCTGAATATGCTGGTGCAGTGAGGCCCGTTAAGGCAAATGCGGTAAGTGTATGTTGGTGCTACAGCCACTGGTTCGTCAGTCTCTTTGTGAGTGATTCGCAAGTGACCGACCAGGCTGATGTGCGAGGTGGAAGTGTGACTGCATTGGAGACAGGCATGGGCAAAGCCCACATCGCTGGTGTTGGCTGCGGTTAGGCGATGTTTGTCGGTGTGTTAGGATTGAATGCAGTTGCGGTGGAAGCAGGAGACGTCGTAGAGGATATTGAGGCGCCGGAGGCACACGCACACGCACACCGCACTCTTCGTCCTCGTCGGACACATTTATGTTATGTTGATGGCAGCCTAACCAAGTTTAGAAGGATAGGCTTCATTTTATTTGTTTACGAATATTACTTCTTACCACGTAGTAGTGCCTTCTGATGTAGTTCCGTCAGCTGCTGCATGTTGCTGTTTTGGCCGCTTCTCAAGTATTCCCCCTAAGCTATGTAGGGCTTAACCAAGATCTTTTACGCCGCGATCTCTTGGAGAGACCGCACAGCATTCATTAGCCTGCAAATTTTCGAACAATAAAACACATTATTTGCACAGTCGTCCTTTCTTGTGGACCTCTTTGCTGTTGGGATACAGACCTTGTTGAACATGCCAATTTCATTGTTATCCAGCTCCCGGCAGAATCAAACTTCCCATTTGTGTTTTAATGAAAATGTTTGCATTGGAGCAAGTCACAGTTCTTTGAGGCAGCTGATAATGTCTTATTGAATATTCAACATAAATAATTAGAAAATAATCGTGAGTTTTAGTAGTTGCAGTGTGGTCTACCTACTGCAATTCTCTACCTAAGTCAAATGTAGACTTCGGGAAAAGAAATATTTTATCGCCCTTATAAAAATTGTAAGCAGCTTAAACCCGAGTATAGTAACCAGTGCCACTAGATAGTGACAGCTTTCTGATATAGGGTTTGATGAATACATTTTAATCGAAGTGAAAAATCACTACGGTTCTCGGTATACCTGATTTGCTAAAAAATCACCAGAGATTACTACAGTAGATGTGCTAACTCATGAAATGTCAACCAAAATTTCGAAATGCGTTCTCCTTTCGAAAAGATAAATTAAGTAGCGTTGTAAAACTAATCAGGATGCAGCATAAATCTATAATGATCCAGTTACCTCAGGGTGTCGGCTTTCGAAAGAACTTATTTTCGACTGCATGCAAGATCTATACTCTGCAAAAAATGACTACTTAAGTAGCATGCAATTTCTCATTGATTTTCGACGCCCTTGAAAATTCAATTATATTTCATGGAAAACATGCATAAAAATATTCATTCTTTTACTTATTCGGTAGAAAATCACGTCTTTTTTCAATTTCATATTCAAAAGAGGATTATAATTCGGTTTTAAAAAAGTTTCTAATTGTTAGATTTTTTAATACCGTTAAATGGCCGTTCATGAGACGTCATGTATCTGCATTTACGAATGTGGCTTGTAAAGTTAACAATATTGCTCAAATCCACTGCTTAATTTTATGAACCTCATATGGTCTCCTCTTAACACCGTATAGAAATGCATGGTTTTCCGTACGCGGAAAATATACAGCTTGTAGTTTTGAAACCCTGAATGCAAGTGTAACAGCAGGTCGGGTTCAAAATT